TATATTTTTTAAATGTTATAGTCCGAGCAGTGCTTCTTTTTTGCTATAATTAGTTTTTACAGAATTAGTTTATTCTTATGACACTTACTTTAGTTTGAATATTTAGATTTTTGTGAAAGATTTTTAGATAAGATTAATATTATAATGACAATTTAATTAATGTAGAATTTATTGCTTTTGTTTTTATTATTTTTTGAGATATATAGAATCATTTGTGGATAAAATGAAGTGCGAATAAGTTTGAAAGTGCCGTAAATGACTTATCTATATTTATTATGTCTTGCGCGCGAGGGTTAGTTGGAAAAAACCAAGTAAAACATATCAGCTGTCGTCTGAAAAGAGAAAGGAAGAAAAAAAATCGTTGTTTTTCTTGCTTTTGCGCAGTGAGTGAAGGTATTTACAAAACACATGTAATGATTCTATTAATTTGCCTCGACTGAAAGTATTACTCTACTCATTTTACAATTTAAATATCTGGATAAAAAAGAATGTTATTTATATTTCGAGTGAATTGAAATAAAAGTGCCTTACACAATACAAACGAATTATTTTAATTTATTCTTAGTCACAACTCAATATATGTTACAAACGAAATATAAAGATAACAAAGGTAGTCGGACAAAATGCTTATGATTATTTCGTTTGACTGCCGTTTTTGTAAATTTCAATAGTAATTAATATTGATATCTTTTATGATCATATTTATCATTATTTTTGTATGAATTGTTTTCTCACCTTTAAATTATGTATAAAAGAACACTTTTACAGACGTTATTTATTATTATTTACATATATATTGCTCTTTCGAGGCACCTAGGAATGAAAAAAAAACCCGAATGTTGTTCGTTCTTTTTTCTCTTTTCATATATTCGTCGAAGAGAAATAGTCTCACATTGTCTACATCAATATTATTTTTAGTACTTCCTAACGATACCTTATCGCATACACGAAAGGAAGTACACTATCATCACTTATCTTGTTTTTTAAAAATATATTGTTGCATTTGAGAGTAAACAGTATTATAGCAAATAAATGTTAAATGAAGAAAATTTTTTCTATAATTCTTGTAATTTCTACCAACTTTTGGTCTTCTATAAATATGTCGTCATGAAAAATAATTTTATATTAATAAATCATTAAGAATAGATATATAATATTATTTTCAATATTTTCTGTTGAAGAATTGGACCAACATATTTTAGATCTAGTTTCTGCTCGAACAGTATGTATGTACTAAATATAAATCATTTGCTAGACGAGATTGGACAGAAATTTTTTCTTCGAAAAATTCATTTTATTCTAAACAGAACAGTTAAATAAATATTTCGACGAAAATTCCACTTTCGCTGAAAATGAAGCTTATCGAAAATGAAATTCGTCAAATGCATTTACTACCGAAAGTCCATCTTGAGGATGTCGATGTGGGTGTGAGTTGAATCTACCCTCACCCACACACTTCTATTTAATCAATCGGATTTTTTTTACTCAATTCACATCAACAAGGTTTTTTCCAAGCTTATCGACAGCTTGGTATTCTCCCATGATAAAGTTTGAGTTGATAAGCTATTGTATTACATGTCAGGAAAGGTTTTTTTCTTATCTTTTCATTCTCTTCCTTCCGACTTGTTAATGATATTTACTTTCATGTCATTGCTAAATAAATATATTACTCATGTATCCGGTTACTGCAGTATCATGTGATTATTGACATTATTACTGAGAAAGAGGAAATTGCAGAAATAAATACAAATGAAACCAAAATTTTACGAAGTTATTACTAAGCTTGAACAAAAGATCATCAAAAATGAATAAAGAGACAACTATAAAATAAGCAAAAAATAGTCGGTATAGAATCATGCAGAAATTCGTCTATCTTGCTTATGATAAAAGCAAACGTTTTATAGCTTTATTTGGGTATTGATCAAGTTTAATAATAAATCATTTCAACATTTGAAGTCGGATATTCACTATGAATTACTTTGATCAAATTTTGTTACAGTCTTATCGTAAATTGTAGAAGAAGATGATAGTTCGTTTATTTATGGAGAAAACACAAATATTTGTAAGACAAGAAATGGTTATTTTGATTATTCCCATCTCTTGAAATACAACATATTCTGGGGAAAATATCGAAGCGATATTCTTTTATTCATCACTTGGTAGTAATACATTTAATATTAGTCAAACGAACAGAGGAAGAACGCATTAAGGGAACGAAAGGGAAAAGTTCCATACGATCATATATGTGAAGAAATAGCGAAGTAATATTCTATATGTTCGGTTACAAAACTTCTATACAAATAATTATATAAATGATACTTTACAAAATGTAAATTTCTGAAGATCAGAAGTTTTTGATCAATAAGATGTGTATTTTAAATATACACTAAACAAACTAGTACGATTAAAATTAGTAATTGATTATAATGACAATGAAATATCGAAATTTCTAAGTCAATGTTTCTCTTTTCTAAAGTAGAAGAACTATTGTCTGAATGATTTTTTTAAAGAAAATGCTGGCTCATTATTCAGAGATTTATCAAAGAGAAAAACAAGGTTATTCATTTTATCCGAAAGAAATATTGTAAATGATCAATTATTTTGATTTATAAAATAAATTCCAGTAATATTCATCATGGTAAAAATGCAAACAATTTATATCTACCTTTCCGGTTTATTCTAAAACTTTTTTCATCTATCGTTTTAATGAATTATCTAAACATTCTTTAATTATTATTTGTATAAAATACATAATACGAGCAAACTAGATGGCATACCAGTTGAGACTCGTCTGCAAAATAGGACGCGATGCTCGATCTCGAAATAACGATTTTCATAGATCCCTCAATATTCACGATTATCTAGAATGCAGTCAAATTTATGTACTTTTTTTATAAACTAAATAATCTCTAAAAATGAGTGTTATTTATTTATTTTATATTATCGAAGAAATAAAATAAATTAAATAAACATTCCAGTTTATTATAATATTGTGTTAAGTCTGTTATTTTTTTCTTTTTATCTCCATTGCAGCATTCAGTAGTAATAATTTTTAGAAAAAGAAATTTAAATCAATAGTGTTATTTTTTGGATAGTTCTCTATACACGTTTGAACGTGACTATGTTTTAATAGCTACAGCCAATAATAAATACATGTAAATATAAAATTATTTTGTTCAGTTTTAAATTTACACAAAGTGTCAGGTGTAATTAATGGTACATAGCTTTGATCTAAAATTTGAGATCTGTGAAAAAAGAAATCTTTATAATATTATATATTTTTATTTAAACTGGAATGCATGAATAAATACGTTTTTCCAAGATATTTTACTTTTAAAATTTTACTTATGTAGTGATCCGTAGTTTCATTTTGAAAAACAATAGTTTTGGTATACAAAAAATAATAAACAGTAAATAATTTGACAAAAGAAATCATTTCACAAATTATTTATTTTAATGCGAAAACAAACTTTCATCGGAATACCTCACAGAGAAGCTTTATCTTACTTCAAATAATATATCATTTGATAAAATACTCAATAAGTCTCTTTCCTCATATAAAGTATACAGCTCTTAAGCACCTCTTTTTTTTGGAACGTTCATTTTTTTAATTACTATTAACAATTAAAATAGCCATTTGCACCTTTATGAATACAAAATAATTTCTTTTTTGTTCAACAATAGTATTTTATATTGAAGTTATGAGGAAATTTTTTAATATTTTTTGTATTTTTGAAAAATTATTTCTAAGAAAACTCTACAATGATCGTATATGAAACACTTTCCTTTTTCCAACAGAAACTAAAAATTTCTTACAATATTCCATTGCTATAATGCAGTTCTTTATCAACAATAAATTAGATAAATTAGAGAAGTTTGCTCGATCTTACTTTCACCAATATTATGCCCACAGTTTTTTTCATTCCTTAGCATAATATTTAAAGCATGCTCTATGCACAAAATTCCACAAAGCTTTTTTCATTAGTTTTATCATAATAAATGGCAACAATTTATTTGCTAAGTAAAATTCATATTTACTAAATAAAATTCATATTTGCTCAGTAAATAAGTTAAATCTAAGGGGAATAATTAGACGCTAATTAAATTCAAAAAAACGTTTCTCGGTAAAAATAAATAGTTGCTAAGTTAAAATATTAATATTCGAGTAACTTATTTTTTCGTTAAGTTAATAAAATCAAATCAAATCATAGTTATAAACTTCATTCGATTGATAAAAAATTTCATTATTGAGTAATTTATTATAAAGACAAAGTAATTCTAGAATGTCAAGTCAAAGTTTATATACTTCTATTATGACGTCTATATTTTCTCTTTTGTTCTTTAACTTTGAGGGTGAGTATTAGTGTGGGTGTAGGCGGTGGTGTGGATGAGTGTGGGGTGGGTGTTACTATGGATGTAGGCGTTGGTGTGGACCACACCTACACCCACCCTCAAGATGGTTTGTTTTACTTAGATTTTAAATAAAATAATGAGCAAAAAAAAATTTAACTTTTTACCTAGCATTTATTTAAAACTCTTTGCATTGAAATATGAGCTACAATAAATTTCATACATTCATCAAACATTAGTATAATGTCTGAGGAAGAGTGTAAAAGTAAAAGTAAAAGTAATTCACTGAAAGAATTGTATTTCTCTTTCTACCTTTATTCGATGAAAAAAAATGTCGCCTACACATGCAAACTGCAATAATGATGTAGACAGAAGTAAGCATAAGTTGGAAAGAATAACAATAAAATGAATGCAAATATTGACTCCTGTTTTAATCTGTTTTTTGCTTTGCACAGTATTATTTTCAAACGTAATTAAGTGGATTTTGTCCCTGAGCGATAACAAAATCACACAAACATTAGAAGTCGCCGAAAAACCGAGAAAAAACAAGTCACTGCCTATATAAAGAAGAACGATGATCTTTCTTTTCATTCAAACAAAAATAGCTATTGACAAGTTCATCTTCAACAACAAATTACCACAAAATCAGAATGAGCGAATCAAAATCAAATCAAAATACTGCTGTATCAACCAAATCATCAGCATCATCAAATATTCGCCAACCACGGCAACGTATGGCACAAAACTACCTTCTCATTTGGGTAGATGCCAGCATCGACGAAGAAAAAAAGGATTGCCAAGACACACTCACTCAATTGAAGAATGTGGTCAATGATGTCAGTTTATGCACAGAACCAGATCAGTGTATCCAAGCACTCAACAAGGTTGACAAGCAGCAAGCCTTCGTGATAACATCAGGTTCATTAGGTCAACACTTGGTTCCTGAGATACATGGTATGCCACAACTAGATACCATTTACATATTTTGTGGCAACAAATCTAGACATGAGGGATGGACTCAAAATTGGCCAAAAATCAAGGGTGTCCATACAAACATCAAAGACATTTGTCAAGCATTACAACTGGCTGTTAAGCGATGTGACCAAGACACAATTGCCGTAAGTTTTCTTACGGTAAATGAAATGGCTTCAACTGATAATTTAAATCAGTTGGAGCCAACTTTTATGTACACTCAACTATTCAAGGAGATTCTCCTTGATATCAAATACGATGATAAGGCAATCAAAGACTTAGCAGTTTGTTGCCGTGGGGTTTTTACTGATAATCCAAGTGAATTAGAAGTGATTACTGAATTAGAACGTGATTATCGTCCAGAAAAAGCAATATGATGGTATACTCGTGAGTGTTTTACATACAAAATGCTCAATCAAGCACTTCGAACATTAAATGCCGATATGATCATTAATATGAGCTTCTTGCTACGCGATGTACATCAACAAATTCAACAGCTGCATAAACAACAGGTCAATATTTATGGACGAAAAACGTTTTTAGTTTATCGAGGACAAGGTCTTATGAAATCAGACTTTGAAAAACTTCAGAAAGCAAAAGGTGGACTTATGTCATTTAACAATTTCTTATCGACCAGTAAAGATAAGAAAATATCTCTCAAATTTGCTGAAGATGCTTCCAAAAAACCGGACATGGTCGGCATTTTCTTTGTAATGTCCATTGATCCTTGTACTAAATCAACACCATTTGCCTCCATCAAAGAAAAGAGTTATTTTAAGGAAGAAGAAGAAATTCTCTTCTCAATGCATACCGTGTTCCGAGTGAGTGCAATTAAACAAATGGACAATAAGAGTCAACTTTATCAAGTTGAATTACAATTAACGGCAGATGATGATCAACAACTACGATTACTTACTGATCGGATACGAGAAGAAGCTGGTGGTGGTAGTGGATGGCAGAGATTGGGTAGTTTGTTGCTTAAAATTGGTCAATATAATAAGGCTGAAGAACTTTATAATGTATTACTCGAACAGACATCTGATGAGAGTGAAAAAGTGGTTTATTATAATCAGCTGGGATCTGTCAAACGTAGCCAGGGTGATTATGAAAAGGCAATTTGGTATCACGAACAAGGACTTGAAATCCAACAAAAAACTCTTCCTTCAAATCATCCTAATTTGGCTACTTCATACAATAACATCGGTAGTGTGTATTGCAGTATGGGAGAGTACTCGAAAGCACTTTCATTTTACGAAAAAGCACTTGAAATTAACCAAAAAAGTCTTCCTTCGAGTCATCCTGATTTGGCTATTTCATACAACAACATCGGTTTGGTATATAACAACATGGAAGAGTACTCAAAAGCACTTTCATTTTACGAGAAAGACCTTGAAATTTGTCAGACAACTCTTCCTTCAAATCATCCTCATTTAGCTACTTCATACAACAACATCGGTTTAGTGTATGCCAAGATGGGAGAGTACTCGAAAGCACTTTCATATCATGAAAAAGCACTTGAAATTCGACAAAAAGCTCTTCCTTCAAATCATCCTCATTTAGCTACTTCATACAGCAATATCGGTAGTGTATATGACAACATGGGAGAGTACTCGAAAGCGCTTTCATTTTACGAGAAAGCACATGAAATTCTCAAAATAACTGTTCCTTCAAATCATCCTAATTTGGCTAGTTTATACAACAACATCGCTGGTGTATATTATGCTATGAAACACTATTCGAAAGCACTGTCATCTTTGGAACGGGCTCTGGACATCAAACAACGTACATTACCTCCAATTCATCCTAGTATTAATGATGTGAAAGAGAGTATTGAAATTGTAAAAGAAGAAATTAGAAAGAATATTTGATAAATAAACAAAAGAATATTTTGTTCGCTTGCTTTTAAATTAATTCTATTTTTCAGTGAACTTCGTGTGCGTACAGAAAACAATTCTGTAAATAATAAAAACGTAGTGGACAAAACCGACTGATAAAGTAATACGCATACATATGTATGTGTATAACTGACCTTCTCAGACATATTTACATTTCTAATTCTTTACGAGAGTATTCCCTGTATTAAAGAAAGAAGAACCTATATAAAATCGAATTGTAATAGTGTCGCACGAGACTTCGTATGATGAAGAAAAAGTTAAAAACTGCGATATATATGTCACAGTTGACATGAGAATTCAGTTGAATTTAGAATGCGCGAAATAATTAAAAGAAAAAAAAAATGTCGAAAAAAGATTTGTCTATTAGAATAAAATAAATTATTTGTATAGTAGTTCCAAAAAAAAACGACTAAAAACTTAGACGCACTCATTGTATCATATATTTATTTTTTATCAATTTTTTTTGTGTTTTCTGTGCTCGTCATTTATTATATATATATTCATTTATTCGATGTTTGGTATTATAAAGATATAAAATAATTGGTTGCCTCATAATATATTATTACATAAATTTTCTATATTAAAAAGTTTTGCTAAGATCTACTAAATTAAATGTTTATGTCGCTTGTGTAAATGAACTGTATTCTATTTATCGAGGTTCGTTACTATGAAACATATAATGATTAAACATAATCTATGAAGACATTTCTAATTAGATAAATCGACGTATTTTGTTTTTATAATTAAAATATTATTATTCGATGGAAATATTTAAAAAAAAAAATACACAATCGCACGTTTCTATTGTTTTACGTTTATTTAACTACTGACTTTCATTTTTTCTGAAATAAAATCGTACGTTTTAAAATCTGTTTGTCATATTTCTTTCTTTGATTTTTATTATTGCACGTAATAAACATAATCTAACTGAAAATATTCATGTCTATTTCTTGTGTAACCGATTCTACAAAATACTTACAAAATAATAATCACAGAAGAAGAAAAAAATCTACGTAAAACTCTCTTATATTTACCATAGTATTCTTCATCAATAAAATCAATTTCTTAATCTTATCACCATAAAAACTGAACAATTTATTTTTAGCCAATAATCGATATCCCCACTTATAACTATAAAATATAGAAAAATACTTATTTAATTAATATTGAACCTGTTCCAAACTCATCGTGCGGTTTATTGATCATCTATTTTTTAGTCTCTATATTTATTACGAAACAATTTTCACCTTTAGCACACAGAATTATTCTAATAATACATCATCAATCTATCATATTGAAAGACAAAATCATTGCTTTCTGCATCGGTATAGATATACATAAGAAGAATATTATGCACACCCACCCACACCTTTATTTTGTATTAATAATAATATGTCCTATATATAATCTATGATTTTAAAACCCTCTATGTATATCTCTCAACAATATCCTCGTTATATGTCGATGAATGATATCAAAAAAAGAATTTTTTTTTTAAAATTTATTCGAACAAAAATAAAAAGAAATAATTAAAGTTTTTTCAAAACAACATATGTTTGATAACATTTTATATCAAAATCATCCGGATTTTGATAGACGTGTTCTTTATACAAACTCCAAAATTGATTTGATAATTGATCAATATCCACTTTTGATCGTTTTCCAGTACTTTCTAATGCTTCTCTTAATACCGAATCTGTAGCACATCGTATAAATTCGGTTTGTTTTCGAGAAAATTCTTCTAATTCCATTTCATTATTTTTTAATTGTCCATAGAATTTAAAATCAACGGCTGACATATTTGAATGAATTACTTCAAATGAATATTGATCAAATAATTCTGTATCAACACATTCATCATATGAACGTATATAAACCGGCAGTGTATAATTAGGTAGTTCTTCATTTGGTGATAAAATTGATTTAGCACATTTATATAAAAGATGATATACACTTTCAGTCATAGTTAAACCTTCATCATTAAAACAATTCATTACCAGGATAAGAATACCACCTTGAATAAGTTCAAGTGAACGATTTTCGAGAAAATTTCGATAATCATCACGAGCTTGCTCTTTAAATGCTTGTAGTTCATCACCTTGAGCAAAAATCGATATACAATGATCTGTTATATTGCATGGTTTTTGAGAAAGCCAGTGAATCGAAGCGGATGAATAACCAATAGTCAAAGACTTTGGTGGAAGACATTGTTTATAAAATGATTGACCAATTGCCATACTAAAAAATTTTTTATCTTGATGATTTAAAATATCAAAGAATGATTTCCAATCATTTGTTGGTAAATCAATATGTACAATTAAAAATTGTCGATCGGTTTTATTTAATGCTTGTATATAATCAATAATAGATTTTATAACATGCATTGAATTTGATCCATGAGATGAACCAAAATCAGCAATAATTACAGGAGATTCACCAGAACTTATATTAAGAATTTCAATAGCTTTCTCAATAAATGGCTTTGAAGATTCAATAAGAGCTCGTTGTGGTAATGAATGTGAATTATAGGATCCAGCCATCCCTATTGTTGCACCAGTTTTTGTCGCCATTTTTGTAATAATATAATGATAAAAAAATCCGTATATATATATAGGTATTATTGCTCGATATAAACAACAACAATAATAATATTCTTTTTTTTTCTCCTTTTATATACATATTTATGCAATCGAGTATTTTAAAAAACTGGGGTTTTTCTATGTACTGACGTAGTACAAACATGATAATTTTTTTCTCCATTATATGTTTGACGTCATTAACGATGTATTTTACCTATGATAAAAGTATGTTGGTGAATACTGGCTTACTTTAGAAATGATAGAAATTACCTACCGTATCGTACTTTTATCTCGTCGACGGGTTTACCTTCTAATTTATGTACAAAATGATTTTTCACATGTAGTAAAATACATCAATAGCATATAATTCGATTGCCCGTCTCGTGCATTGCTGATAGTTTCATATAGAAACAACAATCATATTTTTGTTTTCGTATTATTATTCTCATGTGTCGAATATGAATGAAAAACAAATTCAAACATTAGTTTAATGACAAGATATTTTTACTTTCTGATTATTAATATCAAGAATAGAATATATATTACTAAGATCCAGTAGTCGTTTTATTAATCATATTTCTACGAATGTAATAAATTTGAAATAGATATTCAAATTTCATGAATTGTTTTTTATTACGATTGTAAAATAGATCAAATCATGTTTCGTGGCATGAATTATACTCAAATATAATATTTTTTTTCATTTTATCAAAAAAGTCTTTCGTTCATGCTTATATCTATAATTTTGTTTTTGTTTAACTACACCTGTGATGATATAAAATTATCCAATGAGACATCGAATATTTTTATTCGTAATAATAACATCGATTATCAAATTTGATCATAACTTTCGTTAACGACTATTTTTGGCTTCTTTAGTTAAAAACTAATCAAGCATTTAAAATCCCCCCTCTCTGGTTTTTGTCCTTTATCTATCGTTATTGGGATTTGGATTTTGACGAGGCTAAACGGTAATAGGTAACAAAAATGATTTATTATTATTGCCTACTTCCCATTTACTGTCAAAATCTTGATAAGAACAGAACAAAAAAAAAATAGCGAATATGCAGATATATTTTTGAGTGCTTTCTTACTCATTTTTATTCATAAAACGTAATCATCACAATAACGATTGTTGAGAAACTACGAAAATAATGAATCGATACGTTACGCAAGGTGACTTATCGGTAGTAGAAAAAATTTTTGTCTATTTGTTTTTACCCTCTAGTCCTTGGCGTGATAAGAATGTAAAGATAATAAACGATTTCTTTTATTATTTAATATATATTGTATTTGAAAATAACATATAATAAAACATGTACGATAAAAAATTGGCTAATTCATAGAGGACAGTATATTTTTACATTTCACATTTTGATCAAAATCTTTTGGTCGTATACTGTTGGTTTCATCAAGAAATGTTTTAAAATCAACTTTAGATATTGGATTATAACTTGTTCCTTGAAGAGTGTGAGAAAAGAGTTTACTGTATATATTGATAAACTGTTTTTGACTAAAATATATAGCTTCGATGTTTAGAGATTTATTCGATTTTACAGCAAAAACTGCAACTGAACAATGATTTGTTCTTTGTAAATTATAAAACCTTCCACACTGCATCTTCTCCTATAATTTAGTATTTGAGTATTATATATTTAATAACAGCAATAGTCGGTTAGGGAATATAGTTGAATTTGGAATGTTATAAATTAAGAAATTCAGATTAAAGATAAAATTGATTTTTTGATTACTAAAGTTTCTCATTCATTATGAATATTATTTTATAAGCAGGACATGCGGGACATTCAGCGATTACTTGTTTATATTAAGTTATTTTATTATCCAAGGTATATTGATTTTGTATCATCTGTTTAGATGTAATAGATAGAGATTTTAGGGAAAATATGTATAAATGAGTATCAGTCATCTTTCGAACGATGTGCATAGGAAGAAAAGAAGAAAAATTTCTGTGTGCTCTTACAAAACTACGTGAAATTATGTCAATCATAAAGCTACTTTTACATACTAAGAATTTCTCTTTTAGAAATTTTTTTTATTCTTATTTTTTTTCGCGTATTCTAATCTCAACTAAATTCTCATATCAACTGTAACATATATATTGATCGATTGTCTTTAACACATGGCCTAATTGGATAGTTGAATTCAAGTTTCAAGTATTGCATATATGGAGATATAGAAATAGGCCATCAAAATACGATGTATTAAAAAATAAAATTATCTATTTTATATAAATAATAAGAAAGTGCTCTTGGATAATTATACATGCTGTGATATACAATACCGATGTTTTTATAGGGAGCACTCAAATCAGGATGATTAGAAGGAAACTCCATTTTAGGATAACTACGAATGTTGAGAAATCTGTGAAAACCT